TCAAAGGATTCAGCAAGAGCAGGTTGTCATTTTAACGGTCCGAAGGGCTTAGCCATGGGAGGTGGGTGGTTACTGGATATGCCTCTCCCTTCTCTCTCCACAGAGGTGGTCCCGGGCAAACTTAGGGAGGAGGAAGGAGTCCCTCAGATGAAAGCCACAGAAAGTTCAGCTCAGGCAATTAAGACCTGCTGGCAGAGGGAAATGGAGAAGAAAACTAATACACGTTGGGCAACTATGCTGGGCAGGAAATTTTATCTGTTCTCATTTAACCTCTAGGCCAGTCCAGAGAGGGCCTCATTTTATGGACCAGAAAAGGGGCATCCATCTGCCCCCACCTGCTAACAGTTAGAGCAGTCATGGGGTGGCAGAGCCGAATGAGTGTTTTACCAAGTCGCTCCCTCTGCCACTGGGCAGTGTTAAAGCAAAGGTGGGGCAACTGCCCCCAACATGCTGAAGGAAATGTAGTATCTGCCTTTGACTTGAGATTCCAGTTTTCTATAAACACACAGAGTGAAGCCCAGCCTTTTTGGTCACAGCTTCGCCACTGCATGACTGTACAGCAAAGGGAGCCGTATCAGACCATCACCCCATCCCTTGCTTGCTTAGCTCCGGGACAAGCTGTGATCTGATAGATCCTCAGACAGGCCCCAGCCTGTCTCTGTCCCGAGATCTGCAGTGTCCCTCAGGATCACCCTGGGCTGAACCCCTACCCTCGAGAGCACCTCTTACTGCCAGAGCCCCCCGATTCCTGCAAGTAGGCAGCAGACATTGCTCCCATCAGCCCTCACTGCAGGGGACTCCCGGTGTGCACACCAGCTCTACTTGCCCAAGAGGAAGGACACTACTGATCACTTTCCTCCAGGCAGCCTGTAAGCTAAAAAGGACCCCGGTCACTTCCCTTTTACAGGTCCAGACACCAAGGCACAGCACTTACGGCATTTGCCCAATATTGTCAGCGAACAATGAGAAAGCAGAACGAAAGCCAGTGCTCTGACCTGGCTGGGCAAAAATGGGGGAAAGTGGATGCGTACCTGGTTCCTGTTCGTATTCACGTAATGACATAGTATGACCAGTGTTCACCTCAAGGGCGGCTAGTAGGGTTACTTGGGAGCACTTAACAGTTCCTATTAACTGTCAGAAAAGCCACCAGAGAATGAGGTATCTCACCACAGGTGGTCCGAAATAAGGATAAGCAAAATGGGAGACAGGTAAAGAAAGGGAGAACATTAATTCAAGGGAGTGTGAGGCCCTATGAGCTACTAGATTTGTACACTTCCTACAGGGTGCTGCAGGTCACTAGGTTTTAATATGCAAGACCTAACCCTTCCTTAGCATCCCATCAAACCAGTGTCAGTCCTCCCCTCAGCTCAGGACCAGCAGAAACCTCGCCACGCGTGGATCCTCTTGAGTTGCTGCTCCTCGGTAATGGAGCCAGGGGGAATTTCCAGTCTGTTGGAGAACGCCAGTGGGGTTGGGTGACAGAGGCTGCAGCTGTGACCACACACATTGCCATGGGCTGAAGCTGGACCAAGAGCACAGTAAATCCAGGCAGCTGGTCATTAGGCCTAAAATAGCTACTTTTTGACTGCCTCCAACAATGTGTTTCTGAAAAGTGCTAGAAATTCAGTTTCCTAGAGGGTAACTGTTAAAGAAATTTATTCACATGTCAGGAATTTTAAAAATGTGTTTGTTTTTAATGCTTATTGGTACTTATGCATTAAAAGTAACTACAAATGTCTTATTAAAGTTTCCACTTTAAACGCACAATTTTATCTCATTTTATTATAAGGAATTGTTACAGAAAATGCAAATATCAATATTTGAAAAATACATTCCATACACGGACTCCAAAGAAACAATGCTGATAAGCGCCATGGTCTGATATGATGCCATCACCCCACACTGAACAGCACCCCAACGGCTTGAAAGCCAAGGTGATCGACCCAAATGTGTGGCTACAGTTTCTGCCCAGTTACTGCCCTCTCCCTTGGTAACAGCCAACTCTACACATCTGCCAAGAAAGGACAAGCCATTAAGTCAAGCAGTCTGCCAACCTGAGACTTCCTAGCTACAGAAAACCAATGTTGTCAATTGTAACAGGTTAATACATTATTTATGCCACACAAAAAAGGAAACATACAGGCAATGATCATCCAAAAAATGTCTTTAAGGCATCTATGATTACTTCTGGGAATTTAGTAAGTGTTTAGTAATATCTTA